TAGTATTCCATGGTGTAAATGTCCCACAGCTTTTTTATCCACTCATCTACTGATGGGCACTTGGGCTGTTTCCAGATCTTAGCTATTGTAAACACTTCTCCAAAGAGGACATACAGATGGCCAAGAGACACATGAGAAAATGCTCGACATCGCTAATCATCAGAGAGATGCAAATTAAAACCACAATGAGGTATCACTTCACACCTGCCAGAATGGCTCCATCAACAAATCAACAAACGACATGTGCTGGCGAGGGTGTGGAGAAAGGGGAACCCTAGTATACTGCTCTTGGGAATGCAGACTGGTGCAGCCACTATGGAAAACAGTATGGAGGTTCCTCAAAAAATTAAAAATGGAGCTGCCGTTTGACCCAGTGATTCCACTCCTAGGAATGTATCCTAAGAATCCTGAAACATTCATCAGAAAGGATATATGTACCCCGATGTTCATAGCAGCACAGTTTAAAATCCTGTATATTAAAAACTACAAAATGATGAAAGAAATTGAAGACAGAAATAAATGGAAAGCTGTCCATGTTCATGTATTGGAAAAACTGGAATGTATTTCTACACAAAAACTTGTACATGAATGTTTATAGAAACATTATTCATCATAGGCAAAACATAGAAAAAGCCAAATGTTCATCAACTGATGAATGTGTAAACAAAATTTGGTATATTCATACAAAGAGATGATGTTTAGCCATAAAAAGGAATGAAGTACTGCTGAAGTACAACATAGATTGGCCTTAAAAACATTATGCTAAGTGAAAGAAGGTAGTCACAAAATGCCACATAGTGCATGAATGTATTTATGTAAAATCTCCAGAGTAGACAAATCTATAGAGACAGGATGTAGTTGCCCCGGGCTGGAGAGAGGGAGGAATAGGGAGCTGTTTCTAATGAGTAAGAGGTTTCTTTGGGGATGATGAAAATGCTCCAAAGTTGTATAGTGGTAACAATTATATGACTATACCAGAAGTTGCTGGACTATATAACGAAAAAGGGGTAATTTTATGGTGTTAGGCTTGCCGAGGAGGAACACACGAGGCCAGATGAGAAGGTAAAGGCAATTTTATTAGGGCATCTATATACAGATGGGTAAAGCACCTGAATACAGATGGGCTGAGCTCCAAATGGCATCAGTCCCAAGTGGTTGGGGAGGAAGTCTCTTTATAGGGTATAGGGAGGGAACTTTTTGCCCTGCGTGGTTTTTCTGAGCGGGAATAGAAAGTTACCAAGCATAAGGAACCGGTTGTTGCTGCAGTTCATCTAAAAGTTACCTTCTCATGCAGGGAGTGGAAAATTACCAAGTGAAAGGAACAGAATATGGCTAAGGAAATAATTAATCTAAAAGTTACATCCTCATGCTGGGGAAGGGTGAGCCCTCAGGAACATTAAGTTTTTGTCCAAGCCTAACATATGGTGTGTGACTTATACCTCATTAAAGCTGTTAAAAATAGTGATTGTAGTTTTCTTCTCTCTGCAGATTTCTTTTAATAAATAAAATCTCTTTGTTTAACCAAAAGAGTGAAAGGAGATGCGTGCAATAAGACCCTTCTCTGTGAAGCTGAATGATGGATACTTCATGCCTGTTCTGGGACTCGGCACCTCAGCTCCTCATAAGGTAATCATAATGGCACTGGAGACTGAGGGGCAGCCGATAGGGTCCTGATCAGAACTAGTCACTGCTTGAATTTGGGAAATTCAGATGGGCCTTCCTTTCTTCATTGGCAGGATGCTTTCTCTCCAGGTTATGCTATTTTGTGCAGTAAGTCAGTGTTTTTCAAATTTTAATACGCATAAAATACCTGAGGATCTTGTTAGAAATGCAGATTTAGATGCTCTACCCGCAATATTTCTCGCTGAATAGATCAGGGAGAAGTCTCAAAAATCCACACTTCTAATGAGCTACCAAGTGATCCCGCTGCTGCTTGTCCAAGGATCACGTGGAGTAGCTGTATCGAGGGAGGTGGAAGGGTGTCACCTTTCAGCAGTTTAGCGGTGGGTAAGCCTGTTTCTGATATTCTCACCTGATGTCCAGTTGTAGCCGTTTCACAGTATATTAGAATAAATGGAACCCAGTTGTCATCTAACCACAGGTCAGAGACTTCACAGAAAGCTTGCTTGTGAAGTTTCACTGTAATTTCCAATGCCCAAGTTGTTCCTGTTCTTCATTACTCAGAATATTGAGAGAAATCGCGGTGGCAAAAAGATCTGGAGAAAGAGAGACAGCATTGATGTTTTGGTGGTCTGAGGTAGAAATTGTCTCTTAGAGGCTAGGTTGTTAGTACTGTGCCAAGGGGAGGGGCAAGTAGGACTTGGAAATTCTCTCTCTTTTTGGAAGACTTTGTTTATTTATAAATTGAATTTATTGGGGTGACATTAGTTAATAAAATTATACAGGCTTCAGGTATACAATTCTATAACACACCATCTGTGTATTGTATGGAAGTCTCCTTCCATCATCATTTACCCCCCCTCCCTTTCTCTTCTGCCTCCCCACAGCTCCTTCTCTCTGGCAATCACCATACTGTTTCTGTGTCCATGAGTCTTTCCTATTTTTTCTTCTTTTTGTTTAATCCCGTCATTCTTCTCACCAAGCTCCCAACCTCCTCCCCTCTGAGAGCTGTCAGTCTGTTCTCCATACCTATGAGTCTGTCTCCACTTTGTTTGCTAGTTTATTCTGTTCATTAGATTCTACATATGAGTGAAATCATACGGTTCTTGTCTTTCTCTGACTGGCTTATTTCACTTAGCATATTACTCTCCAAGTCCATCAAACTCCACTCATGTTTCCAGTTCAAGCTCAGCTTCAGTGGTTCTTGGTGAAGTTTACGGTTGTTTGACAAAAGACGTAGGCTGGGTGCTGTAGCGCGAGAGCCGTGTGGCGTGAATGTTGAGGGCTGCAGCAAGGACGCTGGCACAAAGTGTGTTTTTTTTCTTTGATTTGGCTCTTTAATCTGTGGACAGTCAGTTAATCTCCATGGGACTAGTTAACTCATCAAGAGTTGAAAATTTAAATACCTACACGAGAACTTTTAATTATAGAGAGAGGTAGAAGACGGTAATGGAGAGGGAATAATTATGGATAACTTAAAAAGTTCAGCCTGGTGGGCCAGAAGAAAAGTAGGCAGCTAAGAAAAATAACAAAGTTGCGAGGCAGAAATGATCACCTAATGGCCAATTTAATAACCAAAAAATAATTATGAGATATTTTTGAGTGAAAAAGGAGTTTATTTTCCTTTACATTTTTGTCCTTCTTCAGATGTCATTTGAAGTGTTTCTCCAAGTTTACATAGGTAAACCACTAATGTATTCCATCTAAAGTTACATCTTCATTGCATTGATAGATAATTTTTAGCATTGGATTTCTGGGCTGAAACCAATTTAATAACCTCTTATAGAGTGAATTAATTCAGGAATGTAAATTTAAAGGTTGTGCAAATCTATAGATCACATAGAGAGTATAAATCCAGAGGCAGAAGGTTATACCTAGTGATGTGCTAGGGCCAGCTGGTGGGCTCACAAGATTCAATTGTGAGCATCATTTTCCCCATATTGGTAGCTTGAAATTAGCTATGGGGGTAGTATTTGCACCATAGAAATTGGCAAATACTACAAATCAAGACTTTTCTCCAGAGTCAGTTGTTAAGCATTTACCACTGGTTATAAGTCAGTAGTTAGGTTTGTCACCTCTATCTCCTATACCTTAGGAAAGCAAGAGGTCCTGTCGACTATCTCTGCTTATAGAATTGGTCATGTGGTCCTGAATAAATGGGTCTTTATTTTTTATGCTTTTCTAGGTTGCTAAGAGTCCGGTGGAAAAGGCTGTTGAGAAAGCAATTGATGTAGGCTATCGCAGTATTGATTCAGCCTATATATACCAAAATGAAGAAGAGATTTGGAGAGCCATCAGGAAGAAGATTGCCAGTGGCACTGTGAAGAGAGAGGACATATTCTACGCTTCAAAGGTGCTCTGTAGAGTTGAATATATACCTGAGGAAAGTTCACTCTTAGCTGAATAGTTTTTTGGCAGATTTCTCCTCTCATTGGTTTAATTTTGATTCACTCTCAGACCTTGGGCTATGGGAGACTGATTAGAAACATGCTGGTTGGGAATGTGAATTCTGTTCAGACTTCCTTTATTTGAATCTTACTAAATGTGTGACCTTGGACTTAAACTTCCTTAAACTCCATGCCTCAGTTTCCCAAATTATAAAATGAAGATGATATTATTTACTTCACAGGATTTTCATCAGTGTTATATAAAAAGTACATATAAAGCTTTTAGAAAAGCATTATATCTATATCTATAACTACTATCTAACCCTCACCCAAGGACATGCTTAGAGAGAGAAGGTGGGGAGAGAGAAAGGCCAACAGAGAGACAGAGAGGGAAGCGTCAGCGTGAGAAACATCAATCAATTGCCTTCCTTACATGCCCTGACCAGGGATCAAACCCACAACCCAGGTATGTGCCCTGACCCAGAATCGAACCCGCAACCTTCTGGCGCACAGAACAACACTCAACCAACTAAGCCACTCCGTCTAGGCACATTTAATATATTTTAAATGCTAAAAAGTACTTTTCTTATATAGCTGTTATTATATTTTTAAAAATTCAGGAATGGATTTGGCTTTTCCAACTCAGAGATACTGAAGTTTTGACAAAGTGACTTAATTTTGTCTTAGCTATAGTATGAAGTAACATAATTTAGTCAGAAAGTGGAGGTTTTGGGAAACTAATTACAAGTTTTAGTTCTTTAATATTCTATGTATTTAACTTTGTGAAATTTCTTAACCAGAAAAAGTTTCTTAACCTCTCTGAACCTTAGGCATCATATCTCATCCTGTTATGTGGTCAACAAACATTTATTTCTCTTTCCTATGAGGTAGAAATGATCTCACAAAATTGATATGAAGATGAAATTAATGTTTATAAAAGTATTTAAGTACTTTAAAAAAACACACACCTCTTGAGCCATTTTCTCCTATTTATTCTCCATATCCACTGACATTATATCTAAAGCAAAAAAGAAAAGAATTTCAGTATTTAATTGAGAATGGAAAGGAAACCCAAGAGGAAGTTTTCCCATAGTGTTCATAGAACTGAGTGCCGCTAGAGAAAAGACATTTATGTTTGAAGGAAGTAGCTCTGAAGAGAGAGTTGAGGTCCATGCAAGTGAATCCTGTGCAGGTCTGTAAATGGATTTTTCTTTAAGTCCCAGAATATGAATCTCTCCATGTGACTGTGTTTAGATGTGGTATCGCTATAGCACTAGCCTTCTTACTCTCACCTTTTAATCTTCCTTCCATAGGTTCTATTTGTTTTCACACCATTAATAAGTTTGATTAATTTTTCCTTAGAATATTAGTTCTTAAAATGAGGTGACTCGGGTACCCCAAAAATAAAGTTCTCATTTAAAATGCAATTTCCCAGAGCAGTCTCCAGATACTATAATTTGTGATGTTTGGAGGTAGCACCTAGTTATATGTTTTTAATGAGCAAACCAAATAATGCTTTTACATTCTAAAATTTGAGAACCTTTATGTAGCAAATATTTTCATTTGCTACATTGCTTTCTTAATTCCATATGAAAATGGTAAAGAATTTAAGAGATTCACTGGGTGTCTTGTGACTTCCCATCTACTATAAGTGGATTATGGTTGCTGATGTTTATTTGCTATTTTATGAATTTCTCCTAAAGGCTCTTAAAGAAATAATCCCACACCCCTTCTCTTTCAACCATTGCAGCTGTGGTGCACTTTTTTCCGTCCAGAATTGGTCCAAATTTATCTGGAAGAGTCACTGAGGAAACTTCAACTGAGCTATGTGGATCTTTTTCTCATTCATTTCCCAGTAGCTTTGAAGGTTAGCAAAAGTTATTCTACTATGGTTATCAATATAAAAATTGTAGCTGAATCCAGGAGAAGATATAGTTTGTGAAAATGAGAAGAAATATACATAATACTTTGATTCCCCTTTGTTTCTTTTGATATAACTATCTTCATCTCAGTTCATGATTTTCGCCCCAGAGGGACAAGAGGTCACTTGTTTCAGTGGCTTTGTCTCAATCTTGCAGATGCCCCATGCTCCTGAATCTGAACCCCATGCCCACTTGTGTCTGGGGAGTGTTCCAAGGTGGAGGTCAGTTGAGGTCCAGGAAATTCAAAGAAGATGAAACTCAATCCTTGAGATGCTGACAGGTCGCTCTCTCATATTACCACCTCCAGGTGGAAAGTGGGTGGGGAGGGCCCAGGACCCAGGAGCTTGCTGAGAGTGGCTCCATGCCAGGTCCTCCCTAGAATGCTGTCCTGGTGTCTCAAGTTGACTTTGACACCAACAATATTTACTAAATCTTTAGCAGTTAAAAACAATTCTAGGAGGTGTACTTCCTAAATGTACTTTCTTTTCCTTTATCCTGACCTTAAAATTCCTTTCAAAAATAAGAATAGATTATTCCCTTAGCCTCAAGACCTACAGACTCCAAGCAGCTTGGCTGAAGCCAGACATAGGTTTATACAACCTTTCCTTCTTGCCTGTGTTCCAGCCTGGGAAGGACATTTTCCCGAAGGACACAGATGGGAAAACTATTTTTGACACAGTGGATTTCTGTACCACCTGGGAGGTGAGTATAAGCTTCTGCACCTGGGGGAAGAGAAGATGGACAGCAGCTCAAGAAGGGTGGATCTAGTCCAGGTCTGCCACCTATGTAGACTCAGGCAAGTCCCTAAATGCTCCTTTGCCACAGTTTTCACAATTCACCCACTTAATAATTCAACGAATACTTATTGAATGCCGCCTGTGACGTACTCAGTACTTAGTACTTCTAAGTACTCGGGTGACATCAGTGAATAAAACCAAGGTCTCTGACCCCATGGGAACTGAGAGTGCAGGGATGGAGGGGGAGGGTTGGGACACAGAGAGGCAATTAAACAAAGAATGGGCAGGACAGGCCTCTTTGCGAAGGTGACATTTGAGCAAAGACTTGCAGGAAGTGAGGGAACTGATTATATGGATAGTTGGGTGAAAAGTGATATGGGCCAAAAGAAGGCCAAGGCAAAGCTTTTAAGATGGGAGAGAACCTACCATGTTCAAGAAACAGCAAGAGGGCATGTGTGACTGGAACAGAGGGAGTTTGGTGGCCAAAAATAGGAAATGAAGTCAAAGAGAAAACGGGGCCATCCTCCTGTTCCCCATGCGGCAGCTGTTCCACTTCCTGCTCTCCTGGTGTTTGTTTTGCTGTAGCTCAATCAAAATTTTCCTGGTGTTTAGCTAAACATTATTCTGGCTTCTTTGGCTCTGTCCTGGCCACTTGCATTCTTTTCTTAGTCTTATCTTCTTACCCATTTTTTTCTATTATTTTTTATTCTCCTTACTTCGTCAATTCCTGTTTTTTTGATTGACACCTGAACCTTTCAAGACTTTTTCTCTCCTGCTCTGTCTCATATTCTCTTCCATCCCCAACTCCTACTCTCAGTGTGCTGTCATTATAATGCTTCTCTAGTCAGTTACACAAATGACCTCTCACAACCCCTTCCTCTCCAGGCCCTGGAGAAGTGTAAGGACGCAGGATTGGCCAAGTCCATTGGTGTGTCCAACTTTAACTGCAGGCAGCTGAACATGATTCTGAACAAACCAGGGCTCAAGTATAAGCCTGTCTGCAACCAGGTGAGCCCCATCAATACACCTCTGACATCTTCTCCCGTCTCTTCAGCTTATTTTTTCTCATTTCCACAATCACCAATGGCACTCCCTCTCGTGTATTGTACCTTTGGATATGAGCTGCTTCAAGAGACAGAATGTATTTCAATTTGTTGAAGACAGTTCCCAAGGCCATGCCACTTCATTAAAAAAAACAACAAAAACCATCTAAGGGTCAGGTTGGAGTATAATCTACTAGGTGTTATGGTGATTGGTCCTAAAAATTTAGAGCCAGCAGACTACTGACTTTTCTTATCTCATAAAAAGTCAGCAATGTTGGAATTCTCATGAGTAAAAGAAAGTGGGTGATTCATTTTTAAGTCTAACAACTCTTGAGTTCTATGCCATGACAACCATTGATCATCTTGATATTACAAAATCATTCCCAAACAATGTGAATGCACTTAATATCATTGAACTGTACACTTAATAATGGTTTAAGTGGGGCCTGGCTGGCGTGGTTCAGTGGTTGAGCACTGACCTATGATCCAGGAGATTGCAGTTCGATTCCCAGTCAGGGGACATGCCCGGGTTGCAGGCTCAATCCCGAGTAGGGGGCGTGCAGGAGGCAGCTGATCAACGACTCTCTCATCATTGATGTTTCTGTCTCTCTCCCTCTCCTTTCCTCTCTCTGAAATCAATAAAGATATTTAAAATAATAATAATGGTTTAAGTGATAAATTTATGTTATGTATATTTTACCACCATATATTGTTTTTGTAATTAAGAAGGCTACTTGTTAAGATAAACCCATTTTAATGAGCAACACATATACTTACTTGTCTTGGAGAGTAATGAAAAAAACCAGGAGTGTAGAAATGACTGGCAACAGGTCTGCACTGTGGAGGGCCCATGCTCCCTGAATTACCTCATCTCCTTTTAAACTTCTTCCATGCAAACTGAGAATAGTCAATCTAAATGTTAAATATTAGTAAGGCTTATTATTTTTCTTATTTTTAGATGAAAAATACAAGTAAGAGTTCTAAAAAGTTATATTTTGTGTCTTTTGGGGGGTTTGCTTCACTTGAAGATCACCAATTAACAGAAAGGAAAAAAGGTTGGTTTGGACTGGAGTAGTTGGTGAAGAATTAAGGGAGAAGCTGGATATTACCTGAGCTCTGAGGGAGGGATAGAATTTGGCCAACTTGACGCTGATCAGTAGCAGGGTGTTTACATGGGCATGAAAAGCTTCAATACATGAGGAAGACCCAAGGACACCACCATGGTCTCCAGCCTGAGAATCTAAGAGATCTATTGATCTCATCATCTGAACTTGCCTTCCTTGAGCACTGAGCTCATTGACCAACACTGCGATGCTATCTCTGGGGAGTTAGCCAGAGTAAAGCCTCTGGAAGCTCGAGTAGCACGGCTGTGAGTGACAATCATGTGCTCCCCCATGTTGCTGGTATTCCTAAATATTTTTAACACTATGCAATACAGCACTGCATGTTCTTAGTAAATTTGGTGTTGGTGGTTCTATAACCCAACACTTCTGCTTGGCTTTCTGCAGGTAGAGTGTCACCTGTACCTCAACCAGAACAAACTGCTGGACTTCTGCAAGTCCAAGGACATTGCCCTCGTCGCGTTTGGTATCCTGGGCTCTGACCCAGAGAAGGAGTGGTAATGGTTGTTATTTTCATCATAGATACTGTACCTTCTAGAGTCCTCTCTCAACTGTCTGGGGAAAATTAAGGATGGACAGCAGAAATAATTCATCTTTGTCAACTCTTTCTCCAGCTTACATGTAAAGTTTCAATACAACAGTATCAAATAATAACATTACTGATTAAAATGTTCACAAGATTCAGGGTTGGCTTTGAAGAGTGACAAAACCAGCCCAAGACATGATTCTGACAATAGTTGAGCCATGTGGGACAAGTAACCCCTTCTGTAGGTTTTAATTCCTTCATCTTTTCAAGAGGAATATAAATTATGCACCTTTTAGCTCTTGATGAGAGCTAAAAATTGAAAGATTTAATTGAAAGTATTTTTTTGAATAGCAAATTCTTATAAAATAGCTAGTTATTTTTTATGGTGGTGGTTATTGGGTTCTAGTTTGGATAACAATTATGTCTTTTTAACTTACTTAATCTTTTACTAAATTTCTCAGAAATGTTTTTAAAATGAAAAAATAGCTGAGTTTCTCTTTCTGCCTTTCTCTTGTCCTTCTTTGGCTTTACCAAAAGAAGCAAAAACAGACCTTGAGATAGCCAAAAGGTAATGAGGAAGATTTTAGAGGACTAGCCATCCCCAGCCTGAATAAGCAGCCCCTAGTGAAATGGATATGCAGCCTCAGATGCACAGCATCTCTGCTTCCTTCCCAGGGTGAGCAAGAACTACCCAGTTATCCTGGAGAACCCAGTAATCAATGCCATTGCTGAGAAGCACCAGCGAACCCCAGCTCAGGTGTCCCTGCGCTACCAGCTGCAGCGGGGGGTGATAGCCCTGGTCAAGAGCTTCACCGAGAAGAGAATCGAAGAGAACTTCCAGGTACCCCATAGGGCTGTGGGCAGCAGGGACTGACAGGCACAACATTTCCCATGGTGTGGGTTATTGGTGAGGCTCTCGATGTATATTGGGGCAAAGCTTGTCTCCTTGTACCCTGCCTAGAAGTGCTGTACCTAACTCTTCTGTCCTCCAACTGCTGCAGGGTAGGAGAAGCATGAGGGTTGGAAAGAACACTAAACAGGATCGGGTTTGGTCTCAATCCTGGTTTCTAATCCAAACGCGTGGCCCTGGCTAAATCATCCCTTAATTTCTTCAGCTGCAAAATGAAGGTGTTAGATAAGATGAGGTTTGGGCTCAAACATTTCTAGGATTCCTTTGTTATAAGCACAGACATCCCATAAGAGTCCTTGAGGGTGGTCTGACCTGTCAACCTTAACTATCTGAGTGGAAAATTCCCATGACTTTTACCAGGGAATGACCTCCAGGTTCAGGACAATTATAAAACCTACATAAATTCCCACTTCAATTTGTGTGCCTGTGTCTGGGAAATTGAATTGATCTTCTCATATTTCTGATAGGTGTTTGATTTCCAGTTGACGCCAGAGGATATGAAAACCCTAGATGGCCTCAACAGAAACCTTCGCTATTTTAAAGATGATGTGTAAGTACCTAGTTGCAGTGTGGACACTGAGGAGCAGGACAGTGAAGGAATTCTGCTTATTCCAACCCACAAAGCGCAGAGTCTCCTCTTCCCTCCCCCTTTAGGGAACTTGTTGGAAATCATTTTTCTTCAAGCCCCCAGACCACCTTTTCACTGCAACCCTTGTGTTCCCTCTGTCCTAATGCTACTTAACTTCCAGGATCCATTTATTAACATCCTTTGCATATTCTCTCAACTCTTGCCCTTCTCTCTCCCTGTCTTAGTGATCTAAACAAAACTTAGTTAAGTCCCTTCTCTACTCCCATTACCAGTTATTCTCTCCCCACAAGATTATTCCTCAAGGCATTCACTTAAAAAAACAAAAATCCTCTCTTGAGCTGACCTCACTCCCCAGCTACACCCCACCTCTCCTTTTATAGAAAAGCTTCTAGGAGACAGTGATGGTCTCTTTGGAGCCCCCACAAGTCAGGCAACTGCCCTCTGCTTTGCCAACATTCTTATCAGGGCTGTCAATCACCTGGTCGTTGCTTAAACCGGAAGCGATTTTCATTCACGTTATTTTACCGAGTGGGCCACGCTCTCCTCCAAGCCACACTTTCTTCCTTGCTTTCTTTACCACTGTTCTGTTTCCCCTTCCCTCCCTCACCATTGTGTCTCATGGTCTCAGGTCTTTTGCAGGTTTCTCCTCCTCAACTTGAGCTCTTAATTTGGGAATGGCCTAAAGCTCAATCCCAGACCTCTTCTCTTTTCTATCTACACCCACATCCTTGGTGATTTCACCTAGTCCATGCTTTAAACACCATCTAAAGATAGATTCCCCCAAATTAATTCCAGCCTAGACCTAGGCCCTGGCACGAGAGTTACAGATCCATTTACTCAGCTCTGCTTGGATGTCTAATAAGCATCTCAAACTTATCACCAGTGACGATCTCTGCAGTGCCCCCCTTCTACACACACACACACATGCACACACAGCAAATATAATCATATTAATGATAAGTCACCTTCCTCATCATCACCTTGAAATAGTTAACTTTATGTATTTAACTAGATTAGCATTATTTTAAAAGAAGGTAGAATTCATTTCTGCCCTCTTGGGAATTTAAAATAGCAACACCAATAGTTTTATCTCCTTAGCTTGTAGAATAATACACCTATAAAAATAGAATATATTTATTTTACGTAGATGTTCTAGTGCAAGTGAGTATATTTATTTTTTACACTGTATTTATTGCAGTGTACTACAACAGTATATGGTTATTATAAAACTAGTTGGGTTTGTACTTCTCCAAAAAGATTATATTAATTTTCATACTTAAGGTAGTTTAAAAGAAACCTCTCTTTACCCAGCCCAGAAACAGTTAATTGACTAAGCCTCTCCTTTCATCTTTTAGGTTTGCTGATCACCCAGATTATCCATTTAATGATGAATATTAACGACAGTGCCTGAGGGTGTTCTAGTTTTTTTTTTTTTTTTTTTTTTTTTTTGCTTTTTT